CGATCCCCGAAGTCGTCGTACGCACGGAATAACTTTCGTCAGAGTAAGTGTTTTTTCCTGCCCATACAACTCCAACAACCCAGGTGGAGTATAAAATGTATAAAAAGTGGATGTTGCCGTATCTGTGCTGTCGCATTCAAGTGAGGTGGCACTATAAATTGATACCGTTGAAGCACGGTGCCACTACAAACAGAACACAATACATCTTCAGCACACCCGCAGGCACACACACGTAGGGAGATATTAGCCAGGTGGCATAAGACAAGTAGCTAGCGCCTGATACGGCAGCTCCTACAAAATCTTCAAAATTGTATTGATTTATGTATATGCTTATTTAAAATTGTATATTTTTGTACTGTAAAACGTTTTATAGTGACTTATTCAAGCTAGATAGGGCGCTATATCAAATGTTGTATATTATAAGTAGTAGTTTTAACACTCCTGCTATATGATTCGATTGTTGCTAATGCATAACCATGCACAAACGAGCTACAAAAATGCATTTGTATAAAAGAATACACTGATATGTTCAGGCGCGGATTTAGGGGGGGGGGGGGCACACCCGGCCCCCTCTTTTGGCGGCGGACTGACCTTTTCCGGGCCGGCCCGAAATGGTCTGATCGGCCGGGAATGGGAACATGTTAACATTTTTAAAATGCATCAAATAATGCATGGAGCTTGTATAAAAAAAATCTGGGGCTACGCCCCACACATTCAATACGGCATCCTAGCAAATATTGTGGGTTTCCGTTATCTGATATTTTTACTATATTTTCTTTATTAAAACAATATTTGTTGGCATCGCTACGCTCGTTTACTTTGTATCTTGACCCTAAAGTGTGTTTTTTTTTATTTTACCACCTCCGCAAAACCCCAAGTTGCAACTTGCATCGCTCGGCAGAAATATACTTGCATAAGTTGCATAATTATATTATTGACCGCTCGTTATAGATGATCTGAAAATTAATACTTTTTATTGTAACCTTCCTAACCGCCCGGGCGATATTAATCATATCATTAAACAAGAACGATAAAGGTTTTTTTCGGCTGACAATATTATGTATAATCAAATAAACATATTCATTCAATTATTTTGGTATTATATATATTGTTGGAACTGTTTAACTATCTTGTATGTACAACATAATATCTCATTGTGGTACTTATAGCTTACCATCTTGTACGTACAAGAAAGTATCGTAGTAATAATTTGTACGTACCAGAATGAGATGATATGCTGTACTTACAAGTATGATAATTTTAAATTAAATTTAAAGGTGACGCGTATGTGCCTCCTAAGTTGTACCATTTTAACCAGATAGCTTAGCAAATGTACCACCGTTGGTAATATGCACGCCCTTACATGAGTTAATCAGCGTGGACATTTCAGATATATCATTGTCTACACTAGTGAATTAGTCAACAATTATAAAACGCGAGACTATATAGCTAGTGGCCTTGGGTGTCGCACTGATTTGAACTTATCCGTTTGTTTAGCAACTTAGTGATGCCATGAGTAACTCATTAATTAAACAGCAACGATGTTATGGTGTTATTTGTTCTTTTGTACGACAAACTATTACATGAAGTACTGTACTGTAGGTACAATGTCTGAAGACTAGATATTGTGCGTCCCTACATTTATTTTTTGACGGTGGACCTCTCGTATCCCCCTTGTGGGCGGGACGCCAAATTAGGTAATAATGAGCAAGCCCTTGTGGATTCAAACAATAATACCATCTGACTTCTAAAACACGCTGTTGATAGAGAATTTGAACCGAAACTTTAATTTTCTTTCCAGTACACAAAAAAAGTCTTTGGGCCATACTTAAAATGTTTTTTTTCTTCTTGTTAATTAAACATAAAAACAATCCTCAAAACACGGGAAATCGCTTCTGAAACGTTCTAGAAAACACATTTTTTTCGGGGAAGATCCCCCAAACCCCCCTTACGGGACGGGGAAGACCCCCTTCCGTACCCTCCCCCTCCTCGCGCTATGCGCTCGGTGTGCTGCCGAAGGCGTTGACTATTGAGAAAATATTATCGCCCCCCCCCCTTTTAGGAAATCCTGGATCCGCCCCTGATGTTGATTACCGGAAAATAACGAGATGTTACGAACTAGAAGCGATCGGTTTGCGTAAGCCGTGTACAATGTCCCCGAGATCTAGGGACAGCACTTCCTCGTATATTATTTATGCAGAGAGCCGATATCAATCTGGTCGTCTGTATGCCACAGCTAATCCGATTACCTGGACCTTTATTGCAGAAATCTATATCGTCAATTCACTCTGTACAATGCACAGCACAGGGGGTTTAATTATTCAAATATCATTAATATGGATTGTAAGGACATTTATTCCACCAATCGATCCTTATTATAAAGCAATATGTCAAAATTATCACGTTTATTACGACGTTACATTATACAGTTATGGACTTGTGTGGTGGTATATATGATGTGATACGAACATGAAAAAGTGATATTAGCCGAGACGAATTTTCAAGCATTTAATCATTTCAATTATTAAGATGTTACATATTCCATCTACTACGACGTTACATAGTCCATCTACTACGACGTTACATATTCCATCTACTACGACGTTACATATTCTATCTACTACGACGTAACATATTCCATCTACTACGACGTTACATATTCCATCTACTATGACGTTACATATTCCATCTACTACGACGTTACATATTCTATCTACTACGACGTTACATATTCCATCTACTACGCCGTTACATAGTCCATCTACTACGACGTTACATATTCCATCTAATACGACGTTACATATTCCATCTACTACGACGTTACATATTCCATCTACGACGTTACATATTCCATCTACTACGACGTTACATATTCTATGTACTACGACGTAACATATTCCATCTACTACGACGTAACATATTCCATCTACTATGACGTTACATATTCCATCTACTACGACGCTACATGTTCCATCTACTACGACGGTACATATTCCATTTATTATGACGTTACATGTTCCATTCATTACAATGTTACATATAAAATGTGTACGACGTTATATATTACATTTATTACGACGTTACATATTCCATGTATTATGACGTTTGTATCACGACGTTACATATAACATTTATAACGACGTTTTATTAAATACTTGCTAATAAATACGGGGTTTTTGTATATGCGATACGACATAATTACTCTAACCCATATCAGCCCCCGCCGTATCACACCCCAAAACCCGTATCAGTCCGCAAAACCCGTATCACACCCTTTTTGGATTTTTTTTTCGTTTTTCAATGTTTCAAAAGAAAAATAGATCATAAGATAGTAGCTTTTTTCAGTAAGTATGTAATAAACGGTACAAAACATGCCTTTTTCCATATCACACCAAGTATCAACCCTCGACCAATATCAGCCCGAGGTCTGATATTGCAGTCTCGGATTGATGCTGGGTATGATATGGAAAAAAGGCATGTATTATTCTTTATATATATTACGACATAGCATATAATATCTATTACGACGTTTAATATTCCATTTATTACGACGTTATATATTACGACATAACATATATTATTATTTTTTCATATTATTCCAGACAAGTGATTGGACAGGAGTGCATCACGTGTCCACCGATAAAAACCGATATTGACTTGGAGCGCGTGATTTTTGTTGAAGAACTGGGTGTTTCTAAAAATAAAATTATGACGTGTCTCCAAACGAACGCATCGTCCCGCTTTCGTAGATTTTTGCTGCGATTTTTTTTCAGATTGCTAACATTACTCTTTTGAAAATAATAAAACAATTGTAGCCTTTGACTTTGGTCGATACCTGGATTTATCGACCCGAGAAAAGATATATTGACCGCGGACTGCGTCCTCTGTTAACATATCTTTTCTCGGGTCGATAAATCCAGGTATCGACCTCAACCAAAGGCTATAATTGAATAATATCTATTACGACGTTAAATAATCCATTTATTAAGACGCAGCAAATAACATTTATTACGACGTTCCATATAAAATTTATTACGAAGTTATAGCTTCCGTTTATTACGACGTTATATATTCTATTCATTACGACGTTACATACAACATTTATAATGACGTTACATATATCATTTATTTCAATGTGATCATTAAAATTACAGTTTCTCGTCATTTTAAAGAACGTTAGAAAGCTGTCACTGCTAACTTTAGCATAGAGATATTTGACACATCTTATTGAGCCACCTTTGTACAATCTTATAATTAATCCTCGTCACTATATAAAAAACATAGCTGTAGTAACGCTGCTGAATCATGCTGACTCCAATATGTCTGAATAACTACATTGTGTGTAGGATATAATTCTCACGATGTCCCAGTCATGAAAACGGAAAAGTGTACCTTTAATATGAATTTGATATTCTATTCTTAACCTTTTTGCCTTTTTATACCTTTAGTAGCCATGGACGTACACAGGATACGCGCACTCATTGGGGTTTTTCACATATGGTATTGACAATAAAAACCAACAGCACTGTATTATGTTTTCATTGAAAACGTTTTCTTATCATAACTGTACTGTACAGAATATATCGAGTTTCTATCAATGGTACCAACACCTAAAGAACAACCTCACATATATTATGTATTCAATCAACCTCCATTGTCCATACGAAAGGTATAAGTTGGTCTAAAGATGTGTTGTATAATGATCCAACCTTACGAGAAGTTCCGATGTGACTATTGAATTCGGGCACGAGAAATGTCACAGAAAAGGAATGGTCATAGTAGAAAGCAGAAAACAAATCTCAGATCACGCAGAAATAAAATAAAAAATATTACAGGAGGAAAAAGCAATACTGATGATGGAAAATTATTCTATGACGCTTTAAAAACATGATATTGTGAATACAATTTTCTGAGTCTAAACTGAATGAGTGTATCATATATGTTTAAATTAATTATCTTCTATTATTTTTTACACACACCAAGCACATAGGCACAATTACCTTCTATTCCTGGTAAGCCGTTCATGTTTATCTCGAGGTAGTAATAGATTAATCGTCTTATCCCTCCTCTTCTTCTCCCTCTCTCCTCCCTTCCCAGCAGACTCCCTACCTGTCACTGTATCACAATAAGACACAGTCTCTGCTAGGTTCTCAGATAAAATCGATGTCCAAGTACGACCAAGAGAGATTAATAATCCCTATACATCTCACAGCTTTCGTCATGTTGTTTAATTTCCATATGGTAATGTAACTTCCTGGTATGTGGTGAAATTTGTTTAATGTGCTTTCAACTATAAGGCTTTTCGACAAATTTCAAAGACGTCTGCCTTTTCAAATTGCATGTCCGCTTTCATTTCTGATTAAACGCGAAGAAAGGAAAAACATTTCTGTCCCGTGTATTTTAGATGAAGGGTCGTAAAATATCCAGTTAGTTAAAGCTTAATTCCGAATGTTAAAACAGTTTAGAATTGTTTCATTAATCGTCTTCAAAAACTGAACAAATAGATCATTTCCCAGTACTGAACAGCCAGGTTTATAGAATAACAACATTACAAATAATCCTACTGCTGAGACATGGTCCAGTTACCATGGATACTGATTCCAGAGTCGCTGAGCGATAATAGGCACCACATTAAACCCTACACAGGTAAATTGTGCGTGTTTACAGATGGTCTTATTTTAACATAATCGTACCCAAACGTAGCAGTGTCAGCACTGATGCTATATGTGCTTGACAAGTTTTACCTGTACAGGTAAACACTGGGAACTGTGTTAGATACCCGCCGCTACGTCACCGCACACATATATTGCGGTGTAATGTAGTCACGTTTTATTATGGTCATTTGCTAAGGTCGTTTGTTAATTCACTCAGTTTATTTCATCATCACCATACCGTGTTATTATGTTCACAAGTATGTCTTAATTCCTAAAAATATTCTGAGACGGTTGTCTTGCTCGCCAAATGTGCAAGATAAATTACTTATGGATTTTTTTCTGTGTCCATCTACATTCTTTTTGTTATATATATTAACATGAATTATTTCTCATTAATTCAATGCTTTTACCTTTTTCATTCAGCTGACATCGCGAGCTCTAGTGATGCATAATTAATTCATGTTCGTTACCAATGACGCTCCGATACAGCTCAATTTGCATAATAATACTGCCTTTATGCATGCGCACAGACGGAGCTGCAATGGATATATCTTTTATCATCAAAAAACATCTATACAATATTTGTTCATGGGTAAGGGGAGAAAGCGGACTCGATAATGTGGGCTTTGATCACAGCAAACACGGTGCAATTTAGCCTGTAATGGTATGTACGAAAATAAATAGAAAACCAAGTACGTTAAATGTGCCTCAAGTGACATGGCGTTATTGGCTGTAGAAATCTTTGACAGGTAATATTTATATACATTTGAGAATTATATAAACTTTCCCTTTCAGTGTAGACATCCATCACGGAGTTCCGTCGCCCTTTATCTGTACCACGAGACTGCTATCTCGCCATTTCTTTATAAATGTTAATCAAAGAATGGCAATTTCGGAGGAGTGTCGACACATTCCAAAAACACCTGGTGATTTTTTTAAATAAAATATCAAATGTGGTTTTTAAACGATATTTATGGCAACAGTTGTTGGGTTTGTACCCGATAACATGGTTATAGAGGATGTGAGCATGTCTTGGTTAAGTGGCAGTTAAACTATGTTACCAGTGGTAAATTAATCTGAAGAAACATGGACATCTAACTTTATCGATACTAAATCGTACCGATAAACGGACGTGATATTCTCTTTACTATTTCATGTGTTCCGTATGCAGTACCAATTAACCTTTTGATGAACTATATCATCGACAAAAATGTCTGTTTTAAACCGATGGTGTACGATTTACAAGGATCGTAAAAGAACTGGTTGTGATACTTTAGTAATATAAAGGTGACTGTATCATACTACACTGCAGTTCTGGCTGTATCTTTGTCATACAATGTATATATATAATAAAATTGTCTGTTTCCCTTCACAATGTTCACTACGTCTGCCTGGGGTGTAACTTTAATAAACTAAAAGTAAAATCTTAATTAACAACTCTATCCTTTGCACTCATCTCCTGTCGAGGATCGTTCTTGTCGTCACAACTACATCTATACATTGTACAATAGAAATGCACCTGTTAGATAACGACGCCGCCATTTCCCGCCACTTGGCTGCGGAAGCGACTGTCAACATATGATGTTGTATAGTTGTAAATCACCGACTGGTTGTTATGGTAACTACTTTGCTTCTTATTTCTCTGACTGGTGATGGTGAAGAAGCCGGATCGGGTTTACGTTTGGCAATCGATCATCTGTTTTAATGGTTTGCTGAGAGCTGAAGTAATGCTTTCGTTGTAAAGCACGGGCACCTCGTTTGTGATTACACTATTTATTCAATGTTATGTTTACATTTTGAAAAGGCTTTGTAGTGTTTATTTTGCTGTCTTTAAACTTGATGAAAAAAATATATATTTGAACACACACAGCATAAATAAATTGTCTGAAGCGTATATTATATATAGCTACCTTACTTGTCTGAACTCTCATTATTATAAGTTATTGCTAATTACACTCTGATAAAACCCATCGGTAACGCAGCGTAAAATAACACATTCCATTGTGCACTTCAATATCCGAAGAACAAATACGCTACAATAAGATCGCTCAAGTTACCCCCGTAAGTTACACAAAATCAAAGCCATGTCGTGTTGTGACTGTAAGTGTCATATTTATTTAGCGCTTTCGTACAATCTAAATTAATGCACACATTATTTGTTAATCTGAAGTCGCTCACGTGACGTGCGTTTTATATAAAGTAAAAACACTGCTTTTATTTTCACAAATCCCAACACAATTCCGCACGAAATAGACTTGTTATAGTGGTGTAATTTCTTGCATAAAATATGACAAGACCATAGTGTTTTAGTTCGTCACATTTATTCCGTTAGGACATTTATTTAGCTCTGTAACAAAAAAAATAGAACATAAATACACTATTAAGCTAAACATACATTCACAACTTGCATACACGAAGGGAAATAACTCTTACACGGACGAAATGATCGGAACAATACGTTACGCTATTACAGTTACAAAATTACACTCCGAAGAAGACTAACAATAACAGTAAACGATACATTTATCTTTACATTTCAAATATGACTACAATAATTAAGATATGTGGTAGTCATACCTAGGTGTGGCTCAAAGCCGTTGTCCAGGTACGGAGCGCACCCGTGCAGGACACACACACGTCTACAGGAATAGGTATGGTATAATACTAAAAATCAAAACCCTTCTATACTTTCACGCAATTACAAACATGAAGCCATGATTTATACGCAAGTATATATTTCATAAGTATACAGTCTATGAAATAAATTAATCAAATAGCAATTATCATATTGAGTAACTTTAACTATAAAGCAACTGTAGCTAGACAGGTTCTTATACACGAGACCTTTTTATCCCTAGTCTTACATTAGCTCTTTATTATTTAATCCTTAAAATATATTACAAAAACCTACATCCTATATTTATCTATCTATAAGAAATTGGGAAAATACAGGGTCATATTCTAAATATTGTAATGGATCACTTTAACAGACTCTATAAACACCTGGCAAAAACTCTGATTACATAACTTATTTCTTGCAGCTGTGCCTATGTGGTCTCATTTGAATACTGGTACATGCATATGAGATAAAATTTAAATACATTGTATGAGGGTTCTTATTATGGGAATTAAAGGGTTTTCCCCTGTCAACTACAAATAAATGTAGATATTCAACTGGGAAGAATCTGGATTACTTTTTAAGAATAACCTTATGTACAGATTTGAATTGCATTTTATGTACCATAATGTGTGTGCAAGCTTATAATGCAAGTATTGATTTTTTGATAATTATACTGCAGAATCATAATTAATATTAATGGAAAACTAAGGATCTTCTTATTTTACTGGTATTATTATATCTTAGAATAAAAAACCCCGGATAATTTTTTGCACATTGCAAACTGTATAAACTTGGTTAATACTGGTGTAAAGGGAGAGGAAAAATCCCCGGCCAGACCGGGATTCGAACCCTTCCGAACTCTAGTTGGACACTCTACCAATTGAGCTATCTGTTCGCCGACAATCTACCCAGTCCAGTTCCGCTACATGGATATATTAATTTCCAATTTGATAAGAAAAACAGAGGAGAATGTAATTATAAGTGCATGGCAAAAACATGTAAAAAAAAAGAAGACAAAAATGGGAATAAAACTTGAAAGAAAAGGTCAGTTGTGCTAAAGATATTTCTATAGTGTAGGGGTCATCACATTAGCCACTCTGTGGTGGGAGACCCAGGTTCAAATTATGGTGGAAATAATAGCACAACTTGAAATTATGTAAACAACTAATTATATAGAACCCCTACATACATTTCTCATTACTTGGTACATTTTATATTTCATATGTATCCTTCTTAATTTGTTCTTACCTGTTCTTATCCATATTCATTTTGTCTAGACAGATAGATGCATGGACAGATAAACTAACCACATTTAAATAATATAATTTGGGGGAGGGGTTATATTATAACCCCTCCCCCAAATTATACATTTTGTGGCCTTGTAGGGAAACACAACTCACAAGGACCTCTCGAGTAAAACATTTATGAGGGAAAAACAAAGTATCATTCAACATTCTTCCCTAATGCAAGAGTACTAAATAACTTTATATATACTAATATAGAACAATACCACAACAGTGAAGATAAATCTTGCTACAGCACCATTGTTGTCTTTTTCATCAACTTGTAACTCAAACTCAGATGCGGTGCGGTACCTCTAGCTAACTTTTCTAGAAAAGACTCCACGTTGGAGAAATATGCCTGAAGAAACACTAGACTATCCAACTTTGCTTCATTATGTCATAACAAAATGTTTACCAACATCTGGCCTTTTGAGGGTCATGTAATAAGTTTTTGACAGTATAGCCCCACTTTTCAATTTTTAGTAACAGCGACCTCAACTTTGACCTGATACAATTGTGAAACTCTTGGTCCTTTGCACATCTATATGTATCGCAGCGGCACTGTATCAATATGTAAAGTTTTAGAAATTTCGGCCTTTTGGAGTCCCGAAATAATCTCCGGAAACAAAAGTGCTGAAAGACAGACATACACTGTGATTATTATAGGGCACTAATGAAAGAAGGTTTGTAGAATTTCATAGTGCCAATTGTTTGTCAAAAGTATAAAAAAAAAACACCATCATCACCTTCTGTTTATGCAAACTTGAGTCCCCTTTGTCCAAAGATGCTCTAGAACAAATTCAGTTAAGAATAGAATAAAGGATTATATGCTAAATACTGAGACTAAGATATCACTATTTGACACGTATGTAACATGTATACTTATTTATGGTTGTGAGGTGTGGGGTCATTATCCAGCACCAAAAATTGAAAATGTTCACCTTCTTTTTTCTGAAAGAAGTATTGAATGTAAAGAAAACCGTTAATAGTTCTATGGTGTATTTTGAAACGGGCAGATATTCATTACATTTACAACGTAAAAATTGCAATCATAAAATATTGGTTAAAATTGATAAAAACTACCAATTGTGTTTTAAAATCATGTTATGATGCTTTATTTGAGTTACATATCAGAAAGCCAAATTGTAAAT